ACTCTGAGTAGTATGGGCACATTTCATGCTACGCAAGTAGCAAAATTCTAACAAGAATACTTCAGGATAGTTTGCCAGCTACTTTGCACATAATAGCATCCCTGATGAACAATTCATTTAAATCTAATACGTTTGCACGTGCGTGGAAACTTGCAGAAGTCACCTGTGTTCCTAAAGATGGCGATGCTGAAAACCCATGTAACAATCGGCCCATATCACTGCTACCAGTATTATCCAAAGTAAATGAAAGGTTGGCTCACAGACAATTTGTCAATTTCTTAGACGATAACAACAAGCTATCACAATTCCAACGTGGCAATAGTAAACACCATTCCACTGAAACGGCTCTTCTGGCTATCACTGATGACTTATTAAAGCTACGGATTAAAAGAAAATCTCAATATTGGCGTTGATGGACATGTCAAAAGCCTGTGACAGTATGAACCACGACATGTTGTTATTTAAACTTCATAGCCTTGGTGTGTCTCCAGCAGTTGAATGGTTCAAAGTTACCTAAAAGGAAGGTACAAAAATGTTCATATTGGGGATGTGGTTTCACAGTCTCTCCTAGATGATTATGGAGTTCCACAGGGGTCCATTGTTGGCCCTGTTCGGTTTACTGTTTATAGAAATGATTTATTAACTGTTCCTAAACTTTGTCAAACTGCTTGTAACGTTGATGATTCTAAACTTTACTTGAAACTAATGAGCTATGTAACGCAGTCTCCGCAGTTAATTCTGATCTAAACGAAATCTGTCAGTGGTGCTGTCACAATTCACTGCTTATGAATCCAGAATAAACTAAACTTTCTTGTGATAGGCGTGCCGCAATTGCTACGACAGTTACCTGACTTTACAACTTTACAATAACACTTTGCAGCAAACCAATATCATCAACACCTGTAGCAAAGGATCTTGGAGTGTTTTTAGATCAGTGCCTCTCCTTGATGAACACATACAAAAAACTGTTGCTAGATGTATAAACAAACTGATCCAGATCAACCAAATTAAGCATTTACTTAATAAAGAAACACTTTTGTTAATCATTAATAGCTTTTTTTTAGCAGGCTGTTTTATTGCTCCTCAGTTTGGAGCAATACCTCGGCAACTAACATCCATAACCTTCAGCTTGTTCAGAATTTGGCAGCCAGGATTATCTTGGGACTGTAAAAAATGACCATATCTCTGCAGGTCTAAGATGACTTCCATGGACTTATGGTCAATGATGCAGTTATGAAGCATAAATGTCTCAAAGGTCTGTCACCTAGCTATTTGTCAAATGAATTTTCAACTCGAAATATTGTCCATGATGGCAGACACGATATAGAGATAGCCTCAATATTCCATCTTGTAGAATCAATGCTGGCCAATGCCCTTTTTTTTTACCTTGGTGTGAAAATATGGAATAATTTAAGTAGAGACTTGAGCGAAATCACAAACACATGTTTTAAGAGACGTCTAATTAATGAACTGATTTGTAACATAAACTAGATTAGATGTTGACATTTGTACAAAGTTACTATTTAGTTATTGTTGTGCATAGTTTATTTATTCATCCATTTGATTTATTTAATTTAATTTTAAGATTGATGCTGAAAAGCCTTTTCTAGGGATGCTCGATAACGTGTATGTATGTATGTACGTATGTATGTATGTATGTAGGATCTGTCAGTTTCTGATTTCAACAGTTTCCTACTTCAGGCACAGGACAAAGCTTGTTTATTTCAACCGACAATGGGTTTCTTGTTTCAGTGATGAGGTTTCATACTTCCTCATGGTTGAGAAGATGTCACTGAGTAAACGGTTTATACCTTTCATTTGCACAATTAATTCTGACCTTTTGGCAGAGAAAAACTGATCTGTTTTAAGTAAGGCCATTTTTGGGATGAACACTAATGAATCCTTCAAGAGGAGCGGAGTTGTTTTGCGCTTCCCCGCAGAGTTTCCTTAAGTCAGCATTGAGTCTCATTTATTGGTTAATGGCAAAAGGTAGCCTGGAAGCCCTTGTCTGATGTTGAAACTGTGACATCACCTTTCAGATTTGTTTCAGGTTTTTAGCAGATGAACTCCAAACAGTTCCAATGAAGACACAACTCTAGAACATATTACACGGGTAATCAATGAGTTAGATTTTACACTGGGCGGCCCATTGTTTAGCCTTGCCAAGGGAGCCAGAAAGTTCAGAGATTTTGCAGAAAGGAGAGATCAAGACATTTTTTTCCCACACAAGAAAAGTGGTAGTGTCTCGTAATATCAAAGAAATATGGGACAACAGCGACCTTGAGACACCAGAAAATGATATCTGTGAAAGCAACCAAGAGTCACTACCAATGGTTCAGTCTTATATGTGAGCTTTTGGTGACAAAAAGGCAAGGGTTCGAGGACGTCGTAATCAAATGAGGGAAAAAAAAAAGAGCAGTGGGAAACCTAGTGGGAGAGGAAACGTTCAGCAAGACGTTGAGAGTATGAGAGTTCATGATTGGGTTTTGCCTTTTTTTCAAAACAAAGGCCATACTTCTGCAGCAACTTGGCGAGGCGTACTTGGTATGCCGAGGCTCAGAAAAACAGGGGTAAGTCGGACAAGATAGTATTGTTTACACCTTGTTTGTCTATAATTTATTTGTAAACTTTAATTTTGACCAAAACCTTCTGCAGCAACTTGGCGAGGCGTACTTGGTATGCCGAGGCTCAGAAAAACAGGGGTAAGTCGGACAAGATAGTATTGTTTACACCTTGTTTGTCTATAATTTATTTGTAAACTTTAATTTTGACCAAAACCATAATTGTAAATTCTGTAAAATTTCTTTATGGAAAAAAATAGTAAAGACCATCGAAAGAGACCGCTATGGTTTGACTGAAACACAATATGAATTCATCCAATAATACCTTTATTTGCCTTGTACTTAATTACATACATGAAAGAGAAAAATATATATATATATTTGTACTTAATAAGGCCTGGAGCTGAATACATACCTCAGTCTCAGGGGAGCAGGGATGGCGCAGTGGTGAAAGCACTCGCCTTCCACCAATGTGGCCTGGGTTCGATTCGCGGACGCGACGTCATATGTGGGTTGAGTTTGTAGTTGTTTCTCTTCTCTGCTCCAAGAGGTTTTTCTCCGGGTACTCCGGTTTTCCCCCCTCCGCAAGAACCAACATTTCTAAATTCCAATTCAATCCGGAATGCTCGAGAGTTTAATACACGAGCCCCTGGCTCCGGAGATTGGGCAACCTCTCCTCACGCTATCGAACTTAAATAAAATTCATTCGATTTGATTGAGTCTGGATGTAGAAGAGCTCAATAATTTAATGACATCATGACTCGCCATTGAAAATAATAATTCTAGGGAAGCCTAGGCGAAATAGGTTTTGACACTGAATCCTATACTGAGCATCCTGTCTGCACTTTGATTCTATGTCTCTGTAAACCATTGTACGTACTTTACTACAGAAATCCCATGACACTCCTGTTTTTCTCAACACCAATCAAATAAAAGGAATGCAAAAGAAATGATTTTCGGTGTTTCGAGATGATATATTGGAGTAAAGAAAGTGGCGTCTCCATTTTAAGGATATGCAGTCAACATTTTTCCAGTGGGTGAGATGGTCATTCATGAGCAAACGCTTTATCAGGTGTCCTCTCCAACTGTAGANAACCAACATTTCTAAATTCCAATTCAATCCGGAATGCTCGAGAGTTTAATACACGAGCCCCTGGCTCCGGAGATTGGGCAACCTCTCCTCACGCTATCGAACTTAAATAAAATTCATTCGATTTGATTGAGTCTGGATGTAGAAGAGCTCAATAATTTAATGACATCATGACTCGCCATTGAAAATAATAATTCTAGGGAAGCCTAGGCGAAATAGGTTTTGACACTGAATCCTATACTGAGCATCCTGTCTGCACTTTGATTCTATGTCTCTGTAAACCATTGTACGTACTTTACTACAGAAATCCCATGACACTCCTGTTTTTCTCAACACCAATCAAATAAAAGGAATGCAAAAGAAATGATTTTCGGTGTTTCGAGATGATATATTGGAGTAAAGAAAGTGGCGTCTCCATTTTAAGGATATGCAGTCAACATTTTTCCAGTGGGTGAGATGGTCATTCATGAGCAAACGCTTTATCAGGTGTCCTCTCCAACTGTAGACTTGATGATCAACTTGGTGTAAGTGATTAGCAAAGATTTCACTGAAAGAGGACATCTAAACATAAGTGCAAAAATGAGTGATCTATGTAAGAGGGTTTGAAGCCATTAAAACAACTCGTTGTGTACTACTCCTCGTTTTTTAAACAGTACTTAAAGTTGTATTCACATGGTGGGTTGATTCATTTCAAGTATGCATACGTTGTGATTTAATTGTATCCCTGGTTTATCCTTTGTTTTAAACTCATCATCAAACATTACCATACTTCAAAACAAAGGGAAATAAAATTTAAACCACCGATAAAATTGAACCACAACACGTTATACACCAGATGTTCATGCAGTATAGTATTTTACATTTTCATAAGTAGAAGTCAAGTTTTGTTTGGAATTGTCCCCTGCTTGAGTACTTTCAGAGTGCCAAATCTGTTTACCCGTTGGCTATAACCAACTGCAAAGAAAACAGGTAAACTTGTTATATAAATGGACTTATATGAATATATACATTGTACTTGTCAGACTATAAAAATAGTTTTTACGTAATATGTCAAAGACGAGTGCTTCGTGTTTCATCAGGGGTTCCAGACAAAGAGAAACAGATAAAAGCACGTGGCCGCAGGCTGAGTGCTTTTATTGTTTTGAGGTGTCTGGAACCCCTGATGAAACACGAAGCACGAGGTTTTGACATGGCTTCTCAAACTAGTGTGAGAATTTAGTGGAATTATTTCCGGAGAGAGGGTAATTACAAGATGTGCTCAATAGGCTATTGTTTGTTTCTTATTCGTGATAATGAGATGAATATTTAATATCTGGCCATGCTGGCGGGTTTTTTAGTAGATTAACGTGATGGAGGTCGAGTCCGGATCAGAACGATTTCACGTTCCTAAAACTTCTTTTCAAGAAAATGTTCTGGTGAATGACACCGTTCCAGCTTCAACTAAGTATAAAAACAAGTGGGCTGTGAGCAGTTTTGCCGAGTGGCAGAGGTTAAGAGAGGTTCACGTTCTGGTTTTAGATTGTAGTGGTCTCTTCAAGGACTACGATTTACACAAGGTTACCGCTCTGAGCACAGATATTGCCGGAATGGATGTTCTGTCGCTGAACTATTGGTTGTCAAAATTTGTGGCGGAGGTAGCTAAAAAGTCCGGTGAAAGATACCCCTCAAGACTGTTTATGGTATCATTTGTGAGCTCAAGCGTTATTTGGAGGAGAAAAATGGATCCGAAGCTTTGAATCCTCTGGACGCTAGTGACAAAAGGTAATTGACAACTTTTAGACCGCACTGTTTAGAATTTTAAAATGCACTGTTTTGGGAATGAATTTGGTGTGCTGTTTTTCGAAGGTTTGTCCTGTTGCGACATTGCTTAGATGCCGAGATAAAGGGTGGCATTCGAGAAGGGCTTCACATTAAGTGCAAGAAGGAGGAGAAGGAGTTTGTGAGCGAGCAAGAAGAAGCAACATTCTGGTGTCTAAGAAAGAATAATATGTTGCCCTATTGTTGTTGTAAGTAATGATTGAAGCGGCAAATATACTGTATTTAGTATTAAGACTGATTAAAATTCAAGTTTCTTGATCAGTTTTTTAACTAATCGAATGTGTCTTGAACAGTTTGTTCAGTGGGTATCAAAATACATGCACCTGACTCAATTGATGCAAGCTGATTGGGTCATCAGCAAATGAATAATTAATGAGTTTGAGAAATTCATATCCATAACAAGTAAAAATTAGCGTTACATGTAAGTTTTTATCTGTTCAGCATATTTAGCTGTAATGATCTTTCTTTTGCCAGGGGAAAGCTTAAGATTGTGTTACAGATATCAACTAGCAAGTGTTTAAAGAAAAATGGGATTTGCGTTGATGGTGTTCATTACAATGTCGATTTCATAAGTGAGATTCATTATGCCCTCGTTTGATGCAACATTTGCTTATTACTTTCTTAGCTTTATTTCACGGCATTGCTATACATGTTGATACACATTTAAAATCTAATACTACGTAAATTAAAAAAATTTATATATGATATATTTTATCAAAATTCAGTTAAATGTACAATATAATTGTATAAATAATTCAAAGTAGCTGATTGTTTATTATTATCACAAAAAATGACACTGTGTTGCACACACGAGAAAATCAAGAGAAATTTCCTGTGAAGTCCTACCTAGTGAGTCAATAAAAAAGCTTTGTTTGTTGTTTACTTGATCCATATTATTTTTCATTTAAAAATAATACTTCCACTGGCCTTTGCAATTTAGTTACTCTGGACTACAAAACTTTGATTCTTCTCTTGGTCAAAGTAGATGACAATGAATATTTTTAAGGGATGTGGAGTGGATTGTGAGCTTTGCTTCATCTGTAATGCTATTAGAATATGTATGTACCTGACATCTGAGTTTATAGTGAGTGCTTTAAGAAATATCATCATTATGCATATACTGTCTGGCAACTTCTGGAGTCGATTTAATGTAATTTTAGTGCAGCTATTGTTTTCAGACCCTACAGTGAAATATTTAACAAATGGTTATGGCTCTTTTAGTTTGCTATCAATACCCCTGTCGTGTACATTATTGTATCATGGTATACACTAACAGGGCAACAATATGACACTTTCAAAATTATTCACTATATCGCTTACATGTAGAGTTCACCTTACAACATTTTCGAACAGAAAAATTTCAATTCAGTCACTTTGAAGGTTAAATTAATGACTACGACATTTTTGTAGGATTACACTTGTCATAATGTAGCACCAGATGAGACCTGCACTGACTGCCTATGCAGTCAATATTAAAAAGTTCAAGCCACACAATGATTTTTAACTATTTTCTTTCTTACTCAAGAATGGATACTGTTAAGTTGGCAAATAAAACTGCATTTGTCTTTCTTGTCTTACAGTATGTTTGTAATGATATTATGACTCACCGCTTTCGGATATCTTAAAAAGAGAAGATGACTACATTGAGACGCCCTTAATAGTTGAAAAAGTTCGATTAATAGTTTAGTGATTTCTGTATTAAAGTATTTGTTTGCTTGTTCAGATTTAATGAAATTAAAATAAAACTGTGATAGATTATTATTTATTGTAACTTAAAATTGTAGTTTTCCTTCCTTTTCCTTTCCTTTCTTTTCCTTTCAATTTATTTTTCTTTTAACTGGTCCGCCTAGATTAGCAATTGCTATTTTGCGGGCCAGTCTATTGTAACCAATAGTCTTATGAAATAAAGTTGAAGTTGAAGTTGAAGTTGAAGTTAAACATTTGTCTCACTCTGCAGGGCAACAGGTATCAGAGATGGCATGTTATTTCTACGGGATAAGGAACTAAGGAGTATCCAGTTGAGTGCACATCACATGTAATTGCAAAACACAGAGCAGCGTCTGGCATCTATTGGCCTCACTGCATATCAGATTAATCCTCTGAAAGAGGCCAACAATGCTTTGAAAAGTTATGGCCCTGAGTGTTTTCAGGGTGACAGAAGAACAATTAAGAAGAAATCTGAACAGCACTCTCCCGTTTCCAGGAACAATATCGATCTTAGTTCCATATCAGGTTAGTATATCTCAATTTTAATTTTCCCCTTAGTAACAATTTTCAGTTATAAAATAACACATTTTGATTATAGGTGAATAGCTCTACATTACAATGAGACTTGCATACTAGTGATTTGAGCTATTTATTTCTAAACATGCAATGTTTTAAGAAATGAAAATCTATTAACCTTGTCTTAAGCATACAACTTAAGTAACCTTTTCTCAGGCTTGTGTTGATGTAAGTCAGCATGTTCAGCACACGTTTATACATCTGAATATACCTGAATGTTATATTAGTTCAGACAACTGAATTTCAATGGCAGTGCCTCATGGTTTGATGTAAAATTTGAGGACCACTCTTCCACTTCTTTCACCTAACAACATCCCTGTGGTAAAGCCAACAGATGGCATGTGCCATATGGTTTCGTGTCACATTTCAGGTTCAGTCACGAAACAACATCCTTTTGGTCAAGCTGGTGGATGGTGCATTACATATGGTTTGACCTAACATTTCAGGTTCACTTTCATGTAACATCCTTTCGGTCAAGCTGGGGGATGGCACATCCCATACGGTTTCGGGTAACATTTCACATTCACTGTCACATAACGAAATTCTTTCGGTCAAGCCAGGGGACAGAGCATCCCATATGGTTTGATAACACATTTCAGGTTCCCTTTCATGTTACAACATTCTTTCAGTCAAGCCAGCGGATGACACATCCCGTATACTTTCATGTAACATCGTTTTGGTCAAGCCAGCAGACATCGCATCCCATACAGTTTGACGTAACATTTCAGGTTCACTTTCATGCAAAAACTTAGACAAGTCTCAAGTTGAAGGGTTTGTGTTCCCTACTGGTGACTATTATTTTCAAAATAAACATGATTAATATAACTGGGACGTTTTGTGATATTGAAAACGACTGAGTCAACATTAAACCTTGACTCCTACAACTTGTGGCGAAGAAGGAAAGACATTTTAAATAACAGGACTCATTCTCGTGATTCGTCAATTCAGTGACTAATAACATATAATACACTATAGAAAGATTAGGCCGGGCTCTGATCTGATCAATAATTCAGTCTCAACATAGATCAACATAAGCTACACACTTAGCCATTGTTTAGTTTAAAGTTATTGAAAAGATCACTCAGATGCAGTTAGTCACGTAGTCATAGACGAGATAATTGAGAGCAGGACATAGCATGACATGGAATGCAAAAAACTTAGCTGCATTAGCTGCTGCTTTCCACCGTTTTGCCTTTTACGTTAAAAATAAATTTCAGTGTAGAATGAATAAAAGATTTTGATTTCTCTTCAATTTCTTCTGAATTGAGTTAAGGATTATAGGAATTATCTCAAGTCAGCAAAATCGGAATTAATACTTTTTTTGCAGTTTGGTGTTACCGTAAATGTGATGCTTAACCCACCAAAACTGATACTAAATAAAAATAATTATTATTTAATATAAGTATTGGCGAGTTTATTCTTTACTCTTGTATGGGAAAAATCTCCAAAAAAACATGATTCTGTGTTTTCTTTTTGTAGAGGCAACCAGCCATGAAGAAATTGAAATAAAGGTTTATAACCTAAGACAGATGTCTGTAGTTTCTGGCCAACTACAACAGCTGAGTGGTACAGTGGCAAAATTCGTGGAATGAAAATCTTGTCAAAAAAATTCTATAAATCCCTGGGTGATAACAATGTTAGCCTTGAGGACATTGCAACCGGGCAGAAAAAGCCCAAGAATATCCTGCCACTTGAGCCATTCCACCAGCCTCAAAGCCAACGCCAGATGCCTCCTCAATGCCTCTAGCACAGAAAAATGCAAAAGTTATTTCCATCCAGATGAGCACTGATGACGATTCCAATGTCACTAGGGTTGGCCCAGCAAGCACAGGAACATATCTCTCTAAAAAGAAAGTTGACCTTGTTTCCAGGAGCAGCCCCAAACTCTTTGCCCTTAAATTGCTGAATTAGTGTTTCAGTGTGAAGAAGCAAAAGAAGGGAGTGTTGAGGGTAAAGGAGAGAAGCTTCACCAGTTAGACCCAAACCGACTGGTTGCAGTAAGACAGCACACAAAAAGGATGTTCCACACTCAAGTCAACTGGCCTAGCTACAATTAAGAAAGCGGTCGATGAAAAGTGCACAATGGTGCAAAACAACAGCAACCCTGGTATTAAGTAATTTATTGCAGTTTGAAAGATTTGCCATCACATTTGCATGGGCATTTTGTCATTGGGGACAATAAAAAGAATAAGACGACTGTCATATGTGACCCTCCACAGGATTTTAATGCTTAAGGTGAAAGCACGCCCACGACACGCTTTCACTTTAAAACAAAAGAATTTTTTTAACACGCTTTAGCATGCTTGCAATCTTGCCTCATTAGCAATTTCTATTGTTTCAGAGGACACGCTTGGGACAATTAAGAGTTAGCAAGTCAAACAAAAGAGCGTGTTAAAGTTTTCAAACAAAGGCTCAGTGCAAAAAAGCACAACACGTCTCATTGTGTGCAAAAGCATGCAAGGTATGTTATCTATAAGCTGAATAAATTTCCTCTACAAAAAGGAACCGTAAATGATTATGAACGGCCCCCTTTTTTGGTAACTTTCGAGAAAGAAAAAGTTTAAAGTTCTTTGTCGGCGATTGGAGCAATAGTATCCGATTGAAAAAATTTTGTCACTTGAAAAGTATAAACAGTAACCCGTGGGACCTACTGGATTTATGGGTAGAACTTTATTAGCATTGCAAATTCAAAGTTCTTTCCAGAAATGTTTACTGACGAAGCTGTGCAAAGGTTATCTTAACTTTCCTCAATTTAAAACACATTTACAATTTTCTCAGAACAGTGATCTTTCGGACTTAAGTCACTTTCTCGTGATCACAGCGATCAAATATAAATCATCAAGTGCCAGGATCGCTAAATTGTATCTATTTTTTAGCAATTGCGAGGATCGTATCGATCAAAAGAAAACCAGCCTGCTTTTCTAGATGTACAAAAAATCCAAAATGGTTTCAATGTTGCTTGATACGATCAGCAAAAACACAAAAAGTGAAACCGGTATTTAAACAATGTATGCAAATTTGTTCTTCTTGAAATATTACATTGCGTATGCTTCAGTCTTATTGTCCAAATTCCCTAATCATCCTGTTGTCTTTCTTGTGGTTGCCGTCTGTTTTATAACCATCTAAACAAACATTCGAGCTATGAAGTTACGGCGACCAATTTAGCATCATCAGAAGTATTACGGCCTACAATCATTATTTAAGTGTCTTAAGTAGGCTGCTACACAGCCGTTTTAGTGTTGTCACACAACACTCCTTCCACTGAAAACAGCTGTGTAGCAGACTACTATTTAAGCGGCGCGAAAATAATTTTTTATGATGTCGCGCTAGTTTACTGTGTCTTTTAAATGCCTATTTTACGTTGATGCACGAGTAGATTTGTCTCTGTAACATTTTAGCCATGAAATGTGCTTACTAGATTAAAACAAAGCGGAAGTTAAGATAAGACATAAAAAAACAGTCGCTTTAATATTTACAACCAAATTTTTACAGAGAAACTAATTGCTTAAGAAATAGTCTACAAAATGCTAACCTTAGAGTGAAAAATTACCATGTCACTTTCCTATCACATTGCATACGAGAAAAAAAGACAAACACCATGAAAGAGAAAAATCTTAACTTTGCGGAAAAAAGAAATAAATGACCTTATCTCAGAAAATTCTTAATTTAACTGAAATTTGCCTTTGAAGCTTTTTTACGACTGTTCTTCTTTTCCCTCTACACTTAGTGTTTATTTTTGTACGAACATTATCCCATTGTTCCATAAATGAGGGCAAATCAAACTTATGGCAAAGATTGATCACAGAAATCACATCTTTTCTTCATTAAACTTTTTGAAGCCAAAAGTTTCTGCCGTGTTGCTGTTGGCCAATTCTCTCTCTGAAAATAATATGTCCACGCAAGCCATGGCAGTGGTCGACATTTGGGAGCCTAATGCAACTATGGCCTCTACCTTTTTCTGTTGCTCTTCTGTGGTGCCAGGTTGCGGATTCTCCAGCTGCTGGTTTTGAGGTATACTTGCTAGCGGGACCCTTGAGATTGAAAGAGGCGGTCTGGAAAAAGAGCTGGTTCTGGTAATCATTGATACTGCGAAAAATTTAGCTTCCAAGTGAAAGTTTTAGGAAAATGAGAATTTTATATTTTATCGTATTTTCGGTTCCGAAAATTTTAGGATTCCTTTCTTTATGAAAATGGAAAAAATTACGGAATTTATTAGATAAGCTTCGAAAATTGTACATGCATGGAACATGAAATGTTTAGCCTTCCTCAACCAAAAGAAAATTCAAGGCAGTTTTTGTTTCTCCGATTTAAATTACCTTTGTTCGTCTTAGCATGGCTTAAAGAAATATATTAAACTAATTTATTCAACTTCATTTCTCTGTGCATTACTGCTAATAAATATTCCGGTGGCATAACTATAATTTTCAGGTGACATAACTTCAGTGCCTTGCATGCGATAGCAGGCCTTTGCGATTCCGGTCAACAGCCGACAGCCAGAGGAATTGGTTTACACTGATCTCGCGTTAATTCCAGGCTAGACAACCATTAAGTGGTGATTTTCAATTGGCTACGGTTACGATCAAATTCCAAAACAGTCTCAATTGGTATATTTGATTCACTTCGACCAGTTATCAATTAAGTCCGCTGAAAACCCAAGCCATTTTTATCATCTTAGCAGTTTTAGTAATCAGGCGTATTCAGCATGTTTTACCCAAATTGTAAGCTAAGTGTGCTATAATTCGCACACCTACTGTGACATATCGCACGCTACAAAAAAACAAAAGGCCTAGCGTGTTAAATTTACCAAAACAAAGATAAGTGTGTCCGTCTTTGTTTTTTTCAGTTTAATATGTGCATATCCGTGGTCTAGGGTGTTGTGCAAGCATGTCGTGAGCGTGCTTTCCCCTTTAGCATCAAATTCCTGTGGAGGGTCACATATTTTCTTCATCTTTATCCCAAGTGGCGAACGTCCCGTGTGAATGTGATGTCAAGTCTAAAAACCTTGAATAAATTACCAAATACAGGGGCTTTCAGTGCAGCTTCAAAATGGACGGTTAGAAGTACTAAAGTTGGTCGCTTTACTTCTCCTCAAAACAGAAACCTGCGATGCTAAAAACTCTTGAGAGTTTTTCATACATAATATAATTTGCCTTTTGTTAAGATAGGTTTCGAAAAGAGAGGGTTAAATACAAAGTAAGTTTGATAAATAGAAATTCTGCTATCTTGCCCCCGATCAACCTAAAGTTGTTCTTCGTGTTTTGCAAACTGTATTCGCTGTATGTTTCTGATAACTCAGTTTGTTGCAACTGAAGCTTTTGCAAGAATACCCTTGCAGATAGGAGATAGTCCGCCAGCAGTTTTCCCTTATTCATGCATCAACTTTTACAAATGTATTAGCGTCGCATTTTAAGGTTAAATTTGACCAGCTATTTGTGCAGTGACTTCTCGATCACGATTGACTTCAAACTTGCAGATATAAAACTAGAGGGCTTTGAGGCTCATTTGCCGAAGTTAAAGAAAAATCTGTCTTATGGCTTCGAAATTATTTAAATTTTTTGTAAAAATGTGGTTTTAAACATATACCGATACCTCAAACGTTTTTATACCTACAAGAAAATAAATAACAATTACTTGAAGTTCGAAAATTCTTTGTTAAGGATGCCAAAACTCATGGCAATCAGTTAAACCATTCCTGCCGAAAAACGCAATTCAAAAGCATAACCAACGCATATATAAATAGGTTCAGGCCACCTTAAATCTCTTTTCCAATTTCCCATGGCTTTTTGTTATGCGATTGAAACTTAGAATGATTTGCTGCGCAGTTTGAAATGTTTTTAGGGGTTTCGAAAACATACCGTTTTCTTTTCCTTTGTCATTCGCTTTAGGCTTGTAATTCTTTTTTCTTCTTGCTTTTTTGTTTCCTGGTTAGATTTTTCCCCTGACATCAGATTTTCCAACAGAAGCGACTATATTCTTTGCATTAAGCTTTCCTTATCTCCTGTAATCTGATCCTTTTTGGTGGTGAGAATTGCTTGTTTCACATGGAACACTTTTGTTGTTTTACAGGCTTCTCTTCATTCACATTAATTGCCCCAAAACTAATACAATGCATTAAGTACTCGCGTTTCTTAACCACTGGGGCCAAATTTGACAAGTTGCAACGGTGGGAATTGTGTGAAATTTTGCACTTTGAAAGTATACCACATTCAACTTCAGCCTGTGCGCGAGGTACCATCTTTCAATTCCTTGACAACTGTCACACCACTTGGTCTAAGGGGAATCTACATTACATGAGGTTATGGGTTGCGAATTACAGGTTACACTTTTTGAAGCGCGATCAAGAATTTTTCTGCCTACTGCCAAGTGTTGCGCAGCTCTATCATTCTGCTGCCTCGCCATCCCCCACATTTTCAATCGGATGGCTCATTGGCAATCAAACAAACTTGTAATCCACAAATCAGTTACCTTAAGGACACATTCACGTGACTTTTGAGGCAAAGGCTAAGTGATTTTAAGGAAAAATAACTTTTAAACAGTCCAAAAGTGAAACAAATCTTAGCCGTGTATCTCAAAAATTAGAAAGATTTGTATGAGAAAAACAACTCTTGCCAACCAGTCACGCTTCAGGGGTTTTCCATACAACTCCTTATAAATTCTGAAATTAATCAGGTGGTACGTAAACCAGCTCTTTATACTTTTGATACATCACATCTGAGGTAAACAGTACTATGAGGCACTGTTTTTATCATACAGACCTCGGGACAGTCAAATTGCACTCATTGCACTCATTGTCTCTAAAAATCCTGAGTCATGTAAGCATATGAGCTCAAGCTTAAATCTTGCAGATTGAAGCTTTATCATGTTTTAAAGCCGGTTCCCTTGTGTTTGCTATTTTTCAAGATGAACCCGAGGCAAGAAAATCGCTCAAAGCTTTATTTTTACAGCCAAGATTATAACTCAATATTTTTCGGAATGTTTTCTTTCTATTTGCCATCAGAAAACGGTTCACGGGTTTTAAAATTTTTGTCTACCAAAACTGATAATTGGTCAGATTAATTGTCTCAAATCTTACAAACATACATAAAAAGCCGCATAAACTACGCTCAACTTCATGAAACCAGGCGGAAATAAATACTAAGGCTTACCAGTAGAGATGCAGCTCTAGAAAGCCAACAGGTAAGGCCAGAATCGCTTGAGCCTTTTAAAACCTCTTATGCATCAAGCAAGGAGAAAAACGAAAACAATGACATCCTAAATTGGATTTCTCATGACTTTGACAAGCAGGGCATTTCTTGACCCAAACCCTAATAAACAAACCAGCCATGAATAACAAGAATCTTGATAGCAGCTGTATTTCATTTTGCACATCCCGTGCAAAAAGACGGTTCAAATTATCACAAGATGATGACACAAACTTCTGTAAGATTCAGCTATCGTTAAACAAGTTTTAATAAATTGCATAAATTTTCTGCATGAACTCACCTATCAAATCTTGACCAATCATAGTATTAAGCAAAAGCAACTGCCCCCCTGCCTGTAAAAACTGGCTGAATTTTCGCACATCCAAAATAGTGTGGCTCTTTTTGTGCAGCTCATAAATACAACTTATTTCCTATGCATTATACGCATTTAAAAAAATTAACTTGAGCCTGCGATCATTTGAAAGCTAGGCACATATAACTTCAAAAAATTACTTGATCTCAATGGGTCAATAACTGAGCCCATGATGAGGTGAGGCGATACTGATTAGTGGATACCCTGTTTTGACAGCTGTCAATTGATCACATGATCGCATGTATGTGCAATCAAACATTTGCACTAACTTCCTCGAGCTGTTACCCTCGTTAGATTTCCTTACCTTCTCTTTCAGAGTAAGACATTTCCTTTAACAGCCATCAGATTGTCAGCGCACTGGTTGTTTCTTTGCTGTGCATTTCTTGATAACGGGTTGCTGTCCTTAACTGGGATGGTTGCTTGTTTGGTCCGCGCATTCGGGATCGCCACTTCAGAGCAAGAAACACAATAAGCCACCGAAACAGCAGCTTTCCAGCCTGGACTATCTCTGTCAGCAGTAACTGAACATTCTTTCGTCTTGTTTCACAGAGGTTTTGCACACTTCAGACAGACATACTTCCCAAGACCTGAGCATTTAACACAGTTCTTCATCTCTAAGAACTCCAAAAAGACAAAAAGACACATGCATGCTATATGAGTACATGATGCGAGAAAATTCCACAAGAACTCTATGATTCACAAACTCGTGTGGTGAGAATAAAATGTACCGTGGCCAATCAAAACAGCACCAAACAAAATGTCACCACGTGCAATAACAGAACTCATAATCTTCTTTTGCTTAACATTTAGCATTCAGCATTCGCTCCCGTTTGCGGTCGAAATGGATAACTTTTCAAGCATCACAGTCCATTCATTTAATTGAGGCTATCATGTCTACAAGGATGAAACAACATGGGTTCCCCACATCGGTGAATAACATACTCTGAAGCATAAGCCACTGAACGAAAAACATGGAAATGCTGTTGCAGTAGTGACGCCTCTGTCGATAAATTTAATTACTAAAGCCAAACATTCCAATACCGTGTCCAAGGAGGATGAGATTGTTGGCCACATACCATTACAAATGTCTCAGTATGTTAGCAAATTTCTGAAACGAAGGACCAATAATGGAGAGGCCATTGTAAGAGGAAAGCGTGTAACTCGAGGAGCAGTTTATGGACTGGAAATTCCCTGCAGTTGTATTTTCTATGGTGACCATGACATTTCTATTCCATGGCTTAGGGAAAAGATGGAAAGCACTGGGATTTTTCACATCGAATAGCGTTTAGAGAATCTTATAATACAGTACATACTGTTGAAACTTCATACATAACACTTTGCAAAAAGTCGACACAGTGTTGAAATCCTCATGTCATCAATTAAAGACTTTTTCCAGGATGTAAACCCACAATTTCAAAGTCATCTTAAACTGGCCGCAACCTTGACTCTTGTGGAGGAGAACTTGTACAGTCACGTGTGCTCAAGAAATGACATGCCCACCATCTTAGAGTTTGCTTACCCTTTTGTCCCCACTATTCATTAGTCCCTAAAGCAGTTAACAGACAATGGCTCTGTGTACTACACCTTGGCACACTCGTACTATAAAGCATGAAGTTCCCCTTCAGAGAATTGCCATCAATACCGTACCCAGCCCCTGTAGAGATGATCAAAGAGGATCAAAAGATAAGGGACAGGCGAATCAACTATGGAAAACCAGTTCGCCAGCTGACCACTCATAACCAAAGTACAAAAGACAATGCGGGGGCGCTTTCACTATATGTATGTACAGCACCAGATCCTCTTACAGATGACTGCCCTGCAGACGTGGTCTCTGGCGGAATACTTCTAGACATTGCATCCGGGAGAAGATTCATGATTTGTTTTTCTTTTTTCTTTTTTTGATTTCCCCTAAAGCTGCAAGACACTGAATTGACTGAGAGTCTAAATTTCTGTACTGCATTATTCTTCTTACAATATAGTAGGTGCCAGGAATAGGGGCGGAATTTCTCATACTCATTCTTAATTTGTTGTATATAAAAGTCAATCACAAGTGTCAATGGGGAAAAAAGTAACAATTACGTAGGCCATTTATCGACGGCACAAAAATGAAAGACACAGGATGAAGAAAGCCCTGTTATCTCTTCTGGCATGGTCAATGGTTGTGGAAGAGGTTTACCTGTGGACGAAAGGCATAACAATGCGAATGGCTGCCAACCCAGAGGACAGTTGTCTATGGAATGTTGACTTAAGGAGAGACCTTCCACAAGAATAGTTTGAATGTATGAAGGACCCCGTTAAAGGTACTGCTTTGGGTTTTAGTGTTTCAGTGGAAGAGGGAGTCATAAAATACACCTGTAAGAACTGCTTTAAACGTGATTTTTGGAAATCCCTGTAAGCAAGGTATCAACTACATTCAAGAAATTTTTTTCAGGGAAATGTCAAGGGTGTAGGACAAAGATAATAGTGGATAGGGATATACCTTTCAGCATTTCCTATAATTCTTCTTACGTACCATTAAACATCTTTTATTTCAATGGCTTTTAACCCTGATGTTTCTTCATACACCGTATTCATAAATGGCAGACTCGTGGGGAAAAAATGGTACCTAATCATGAAAATGAGGCGTTGCAGGATAACAAACTCAAATTTCTGGCCGATAGTACAGATTTAGTCAACTTACAAAGCGGTGATTTCTTTTTTAAAAGGTTTCTACAGAGTTTTTTTACTGTAACAGGTTTCTTAGGATGTCATTAAGCTCTAAAGTTTACCGTTCTGTTCCCCTTTGCAACTAAACAGTAACCTAGATCCTCAAGGAAACAGAGTGGGATTTTTTCTTCTCTGAAGGATCCAAACAATCACAAGCAATGGCTACAGAAAATCCGAAAAGATGTTGACCCCAACTTTTCATTGACGAAAGCTACCCAGGTCTGCTCATTACATTTTCATGGAGAAAAAAATAAAAACAGGCATTTCCGGCAAAAAATGGAATTAGTTAAGGGTACAATTCCTTCGAAGCTTGTGTGGCATACTTCTCCAAGGAATAGTCATCCACCATTGTATGTCTTGATGTAAAGGGTTTTGGGTTGATAAGTGTCTTAGCAAAAGTCTCGTTATTTCTTTGTCTGTAAGAAATCAAGTGAAAATTAGACGCTGTAAATCTGTATTTGCGTTCAGACCTCCACAACTCACTGTTCACTTGGTCTCTTGTTGCAGCCTTCAGTGCATTGATCTCATCCTCATCGACGTTTGTTCATTTTCCTCATCAGGAAGGTCACTTCGCTCGCCTTTCTGTGAATGGATTTAAGCCATGATCCCGTAAGAAATTCATTGACCTTGGCATCACCACAGGGGATTACGTGAACTAACTAATTCTACGTGTAAATGCTGGGTCATAAAAGAAGGAACAAGAAAGACTTATACATCTTGATATAAAATAGAGGCAAATTTATTTATTGGGTCAGTTGTTTTTGTGGAAAACATGTTTGATTTTGAACTTTGAAATAACATGCAAAACTCTTCCACTAAATGGGGTAGGTTTGTGTAGATCAGCATTATACCACTTGCGCCTAAGTGTTTATTTCAAAGTACGGTGATGTCTTTGAAAAAGGTTATTAAAATTTGCACCTTTCCTGTGGCCACTAGCAGAATTTAAATAGATCAACCTGGTGAATAATAATATGCTCATTTGAATCATTCTTAACCGTGTTGTGTGACATCATTGCATCAAAAAAGCTTGAATGTTGCAGGGACTGTGACATGCTTTTGTGCATGTGCAGCATCTTGATTCCTGGCCTGGCAAACCTTTCCCAAGATTTGCTTTTGGGGAAGAAATCCTCTTCCATCGACCCTGAGATGCCCAAGAAAGCTATTATATCAGTATTGAAGAGCTATTTGTCCATTTTGGAAGTTTTAAACGTCATATTTTGTATTTTTGGGCAAACATTGTCGAGAAAATTCGTAGTCATTGAGGAGAAGTGCACTAAGCCATATTCATTGTTGTCAGTATTCCTACAAACGGATCAAATGTGGTCATCTGGCCTTCATTTCTGTCTACTAAGTTCTCCAGTCAATGATCTACCATTTCCAGATAGTTTTTACATGTTAAAGAAAGTTGACAAGGGTTTCCCCGATACAGCCGTGGACTACCAATGGGATGCAGCGGGCGAGTGAAGTTGATCTGCAACATGACTTCCTATTGTCTGCAACAGCTTACATTCTCGAGTGCCAGGAATCAGAAGGAGAAAACCCAGCAATCTTTTGTTGTACACGAAGTCGTGTGTGGTTTGAGGAAAGCATCCACCAAACATGAAATGTTTTAACAGGCATTCAATTTATGACTCAGATCCGTGGTTGTAT